TTTACATATTTACAACGAACTAAGAAGAAAACAAAACTTTTCGCCCGTTCCTAACACATGTGCAGATTATAAAGATTACGAAGATCGAATATTTCATAATATTTTTTGTTGTTGTTGACAAAGGATGTTTCTGCAGACTAATGGTTGGTAATCACTGCTCGAGGACTCTAACAGTTCGAGTAGGGGTTGATTACTTTCAAGAACTGAGTTCTTGCATAATACTCTAAGTTACTTAGCAAAAACTTGGCAAAAGAATGACCAACTCTGCGAACTTGATCGTTACTACATACATGATGGAAGTAGACCTAAGTACCTCTCACCTGTAAACATTTACTTTAAAAATAAGGATGTAATAAGGCCACCTATTGCTAGTCTTTAAACCCTACACTGGTTAGACTAAGAACAATACATTTAATAGGGTATATTTTTATGTAAAATGCATTTGATTAGTCTAACTAGTGAAATGTGTTGTGTGTATTATGGAACTGACCTAAGAGATATAGTGCAAAACACAGAATGTAACTGTAGATACTTACATGGACATTGCCTGAAAGAGGTCGGAGCAAGTGCGGTTTACTCCGACCCTCATGTTGTATCAACACCAACATTCACCAGTAGAAAATCACAGCTCGGAAAGGAGGAAGAGGTCACCATGAACCCGACCCTCCCTGGTCCATCAAACGACAAAAACATCGATTTTGGAGAAGAGAGAACTGTACCAACTACATTAGCAAAAACGTCAGAGCAGTACACCTTTAAATGCTGTTACCATTCTCATTGAATTTTAACGTTAATCCGATGGTGTAAGGTTTAAAAAAAACGTTATTGGCTCCACACACACGGCCAATTGGAGGCAAAAAGTCCTAAATAAAGAAGTTCATTGAAATTCAAGAGGAATATTTATTACAGTGGAATGAGTGTCAAGTACACAAAACCTCTGTGAATAATGCTGAAAAACCTAAAGTCTACTGAACATTGTAAGATGTACTAATGTCTCAGCTGTCCATAGTTAAATATTCCTTATTTTATGTGATCTTTGAAATTTGTTGAGTAATTAACCTCACATCAGGCACTAAATTCATTACCGAGAACACAGGACTTGCACATTCACTATGCTAAAAAACAAACTACCATATTGGTAAATTTCACAAATAGGCTACGACATTTAAACGCGCCCCCAAGTGGCATAACGGCAAGTCTGCTGACCTATAACGCGAAAAACCGGTTTTCGATACTCATGGTGGACACCGTACAAAGAGCTCATTGTGTAGCTTTGTGATTAAATAAAACAAAAACTAAAAAACCTTTAACCATCGTTCGTGCTTCACTGTTTATGTTGGATGGACAGGCACGAGTTTAACTGCAGATGGAGAAGACTTTGGATATAATTATGTGACAATCATGAAAAATGTTGGGTCGTGTCAGGGTATGGGACTTTTTTTAGTTGGTTTGGATTTAGCCTACCTGTAAGAGTTATCGGAACTGCGAATTTGTTGCTGTTTGGTGACATTATGGATGATGGTGCTGCACTGACAATATTCATAAACTCGTGTGGGTAAAAACTATACCAGTGATTCCCAACCTGGGGTCCGCGATGTTGATATCATCTTATTAAACAAGTAAGTTTTTTAATATTGCTGTTTTTTAATTGCACACTCAGTTATATATGTCTTTTATTTGGTAGTGAAAGATCGGAAAACGAGTTATTTATTAGTTAATAAAAACAGTTTGTTTGGTAGACGGAATCTTTCAAAAACATGGGGTCCGTGGTGAAAAAAAATTAATAAAAGGGGTCCTTGGTGGGAACCACTGGTCTATATGCTTATTCACCTTTTATTTATTTTCTATACATATAAAATTAGTCTGCTACCACATCTTGGCCAGATTAAGTGGAAAAGAAATACTAATAGCAATGACCTCTCAAGAAAACTATATGGAAAACTGAAAGTTGAAACATCCAAATGTTCTAAAAATACTCCTTTGTTTTCCTGTTAATAAATATATATCTTTCCTTCCTGCCAATTGTCAAGTAGAAAGGCTTTTAGTTAAATTTCTTAATAAATAATAGTATAAATATATACCATGTTGTTGTTGGGCTTAGGATTCTTCTACAATAGGTGTCTGTGAATTGTTAGCGATAAATTCAACGATGAATAAACAACACGCAACTCACTTGTTTTCAAAATAATATGTATATCCAGAACAAGTTAACGTATACACAATAAATTCTTCAACACTATAGATATTAAGGGCATATCATAAATACTATATATGTAGTTCTATCCTTCTTGAGGCCCGGCATGGTCAGGTGGTTAGGGCACTCGACTCGCAATCTAAGGGTCGCGGGTTCGTATCCCCGTCCCTTTCAGCTGCGGGGCCTTATAATGTGACGGTCAATCCCACTATTCGTTGGTAAAAGAGAGCCCAAGAGCTGGCGGTGGGTGGCCTTTCCTCTAGTCTTACACTGCTAAATTAGGGACGGTTAGCGCAGATAGCCCTC